TTAGTGGGTGGGAACAATTCACTTGATCAAAGGTTGTATACGAAACATCTTCATTTTAGGAACTTGTGTGGACAGGGGTATGTTCAGGACAATTTCTGCCCAGAAATACCAATAGGAACAGCAAATCATTGATACATGTAGCTCGTTTGATGAGGTACATATGGTACCTGCTTACGTGTTGTCTTTCAAGTCAAATTATACTACTCAAAAGATTTTAAGGATCACCAGGTTCGTTAATATTACTACAGTTAAACTGATTAAAATATGAAAAAAATTGAGTGGTTCTTAATTTCTTGTGGCTAGTATATATCATCGATATGTACAGGTGTGTAATTCATGGTATCAGTGCCTCATACCTTGATCAAGATGCGATGGCGCTTTTCAGAAATGTTTCAATGTAGGAGTAGGTGGCGGTATATAATCACGCCCGAGACTCGAGTTAGTTTGCGCGTAGGGTCCAACGTGACGTGTGAAGCCAAGTGGGTGTACGTGACAAATTGACAGTGCACATGTGTAAACCAAAACCCAAACGGAAAAAGTCACATCTTGTAGATGAATGTGAAGACAATAGCCATAAATATGCCGGAAATATGAAGCGCGTTTACAATTCAACCCATTTGCATTTTCTAGGAACCCTACAAATATAGATCTAGTGGCTCTCCCTGGGGATTCAATGGACATATACGCTCCTAATACCCCGTCCTGGCTGTGATTGAGAATTGACTAAAGTTGTTAGTGAGTGTATGACTAGATTAGGTCTGCTCGAATCATACCTATAGTCAAAGAAATAATTAACAATAGAAACGGTACGTGCTGTGCTGTGCCTTGATTGTTAGCGCTATGAGCATACCTAGTGTGGAGTTTGGCGCTATATAAATGGACACATTATTATTATTATTACGGGCCCAATAGACATTAAAATGTTGTGATCTTATTTGAAATCCGTACTGCGCAAGGAAAGGTAGACCAGTAGTATTTAAAGGCGTTTGTTCGTTACACCAAACTCTCGGGTTCAATTCCCCACATATACAATGTGTAAAGTCCATTTCTGGCGGCCGTACCTACATATTGGGGTATTGCTAAACGTACGGTAAAATCATATTCACTCATTACTCCGTAACAGTCTTTATTGCCGAATACCAAGGTACAGCTTGAATCCCATTTGTCATATTCCCATATTCTCTATGACAAGAGAGAAATACAGCCACAGTCCCCTTCATTTGGCTGATAGACTGCCAAAAGAGTCACCATTTACAAGCGCCGTCATTGGACTGAAACGCTGTTTCCAGCAACGTCGTTACTGTGAAAAACTTTGTTCAAAGCGTCTGAAGCTGGCGGAGTTACTGCTGAAAGCGCAGTCATTTGGATCATATGCTTCTCAAAGGGCAACCACTTGGCTGAAATACTCCTTACAAGTACCGTCATTTGGCTGAAATATAACAGTCGGCACTAAGCAACTATCCAGAATTCATAGATCTGTGCTGGTGCTCTTTGGGTGAAAATCCAAAATTTTGCTGATTGCTCTAGCCTACAGAGTTGCACAAATAACATGATAAACGCGACGCTGATTCACTATAACGTACTTGAATTGCAGAGATAACAGGAATCGGCAAAATGTATGTTGCCTTGAAGGCAGGTATATTTTTGTATATTTCAACATCGTTGTAATAGGTAACAGGGAAATCTAACCCCCCAAAATAACTGTATTTTACCATTCAAGTATTTTATATAAAGGGAAGATATGTACAGCAGTTATTCCGCTGCATTCCTGTTTACGTGCCGCGAAGCTTCTATCCGAACACCCACTAGGAAAAATAATTCTTTGTGGAACATAGCAATGTCGGGATGACGAATGCTGGACGTTCACAGTTGTCTGGTTACGGTTTAATTCATTACGGTTTAACAACTGGGTCCTGTCTGTCATCATTTATCTCGTTGCTAGGCGACTAAAAGATGCAGGTTTTTTTGGCTCGTTTGATGTAGCGGGTTTAGGATTAATCATCCATGTGCACAATGTAGGGCGGATTGATTGATGTTTAGTTCAACCTATATTGTGTCGCAATTCTGTCTCGGTCTGTAATCTGATGCACACAAACAAAAATTTAATTTTGAGACAGATGCAAATAGTAATAAGGTGGGGACAATTAGCGGCTTTCTAAAGCAGCCAGTGCAGTTTTGAAAAAAAATTAACTTGATACTGCGAGATTGTTCGATAGGGGAAGTACATGTATTCAGGTTACGTTTCTGATTGGACGATCTGTGTAACACGTGACCTTTGTCACCAAGTATAACCATTTAAGGGGTATCTTGGGAATTCTCATATTGTAACCGAGAGAATCGGACCCCATTGATCTCTACGCCCTTCTGTGCTGGAAAATCCAAAAGTGATGAACTTTGATGATTCATCTTTTACCTGAAACCAACTGGCGTGTGGATGCATACAGCAGATCCTGGCACACATAAGGGACGCAACTCTGTCTTAACCACTAAAACTAATACTACCATAACCTTCATGTGTACATATCCCATAACAACCAACTATCCAGATGAGGTGTAGAGCACGAATATCCAGACGTGAGTTTAACAGATTTTTTTAGACATCTTGCTAGTCATTGCTGAAATATTTAGGGTTATATTTCCAACTATTTTTAAACCCGAAATTAAACTTTTAGCACGTTTTCGTGAGTCAGCGTAGATTAGGTAGGGGGTAATTTACATTTACAGCTCAAAACACATTACCACACATGACATCCGGTTGTTGTGCATGCACATTTCAACCAATTAACCAATTACAAGACATTGATAGATCTACTTTGATATTTACAGATAAACGCTAAGAGTGTTAAGAGCGTAGATTATACGAAGGGGTAGAGGTGTCAGTTCATTTCCCGTATAGAGAAATCAGATACAGGTGGGATAGTTACATGCAATGGAGATATGTTAATACATGTAGTTACCGTAGCTATCCCTACACTCAGCCAGCACACACAGCCGTACCAAGCACGTGAAGTGGGGAGTGGGGTAGGGTTGGTGCAGAGAAGCTGACCTGTTCTAAGAACATGGGAAACATAACCTTAGTGTAAGAAACTTTCTTTCAGGACACGGTCAAAACGTGCGTGCGTGAGTGAGTGAGTTTAGTTTTACGCGGCCTTTAGCAATATTCCAGCAATATGACAGAGGGGGGCACCAGAAATGGTAGTCACACATTGAACCCATGTGAGGAATCGAACCCGGGTCTTCGACGTGACGAGCGACCGATTTACCTACTAGGCTACCCCAACGTCCCTTAAAGGGCGAAACGAAGTCAACATTAATGTAACCTAGCAAATTGTAACTACATATCTTGAGTATCAAATACTAGACTTATGGTGAGTGCGTGAGTGAGTTTAGTTTTGCGCAGCTTTTTCGCAATATTCCAGCAATATCACGGCAGGGGACACCAGAAATAGGCTTCACACTTTGTGCCCATGTGGGGAATCGAACCCGGGACTTCGGAGTGACGAGCGAACGTAACTAGCCTTATGGCCAGCAAAGTGTTTTTCAAAACGAGGCAGTCATACTGAAAACTTAAATGCAGCCCCTTGAATAGTTAAATATATATTGATATGCTCATTTTAGAGACTATATCTTAGTCAACCCTTGCACATATTATCATCATGGTAAATCACTGAACTGGCTGGTTAAGACTCGATTATTTACAAACCGTCGTCATGTAGGTGAGAAATTGCTGATTGCAGCCTAAAACAAACAAACAAACAAACAAACAAACAAACATTCGCGTCATCCCGAAGCTTCATCGGTCAGTTCGGTCAGGACAAGATAATGATGATACAAACGACGAGCCAACATGTGCTACCTTCGGATTGCAGGAAAGGTGAGTCAGACTGTTCTTACAAAACTGCCGAGCAAAGAAAGTATACGCTTGAAATTTGAATTTGTTCAAGACATTACAAACCTTGCTAAGCTAAAACATACACTTGAATTTGGATTAGATCAATAAATTACAAAATTGATAAGCTTTAAACTCGCCGAAACACTGGAAACGTAAAGTAAAAATACAGCTGCTATACAATACCTGCATGTATTAAATACATTCAATACATTCAGATCGGCGATTGATTTCTCGATGTTTGATTTTTACAACAATTAAACATCGTTGTGTACAAGCCGTTTACAACGCAGTTTAGGTTATCTGTGCCAATATCACTATACAGTACACTGTAATCAGTGGACGATCCTATACAGGGTGAACGGTGAACTCTACCAGCATGAATGGTGCACGATGTGCAATAACGTAATGTGAGTGTACACATAGGGCGTACAGTTTCATACCCGAAGGTTGTTTACAGTATGTCGTCGCCATGCTTGTGTACACATTGCAGCCATACCGGGGTAGCTAGCGGCACACATATCTCTTCTCGTATAACAGCTGTCGACATGTTTAGTCTAAATGCTATTTAACGTTTATACAGAACGGACAAACGGTTACGTCATATAAACGGACACAAATACAGCTCGTTAAATTCTCTTGGTAATATGGCAATGTGACAAAAATAATGTCTTTCAGTCACAAAAATAGTTAATTAAAACAAAATCTTTCAACAATTAATCCAATAAATCATATCACGTAATGTGATACTAGACTATTGTCTCTAATTTTCAACTGATATCTAACATTCATGTAATTAATATTCATATTTGATGAATAATATTTAATAATTAGAGTATGATTCACGATCAAACTGAATCTGCTATGACAGCTGTTTTATATCGCTTAGATAAACAAGGGTGGATTATTACGAGGCTGAGGGTATGAAGTTACATATTCCACATCCGCATTTGTCATAAAACATCACGTTTCTGGCTACACGTTCTACTGTTGGATCTTCTAATGAATATAATTCTACGAGCAGTTTTATGTCAGTTAATTCTCTCTGTAAAAGAACGTTGTGGTTTAGATAATACGACCACTGGATGGTTATCAAAGTTCACGTCCTTACCGTTATCGTGGAGTTCACATTTCCGTGTATCCCGAATCATCCAGCTCACATACAACGATCGAAAGCTATCTCAAGCGTGTTCAGATCTGTCAATCACCCGCTGCTTATCACTGGGATTGGCGACTCCCGGAACTGAACTCTCGACACTGCCCTGAATGTTTGAGGTAGAGACACATTCATGCGCAAGTCTCCATTCGTTGTGGGGAGGAAGTAGCCGCGCTATATATATACTACCTACGTCACAACGGGTTTAAGGGGCCGCGCCTCCCGAAATATACTACCCTATGATAAACGATAAAGAGAAATAGAGTACAACATATGCCGTACAGAGTTACTTCCCTTGTTCTAAAGCCATCTCTCACACACACAGCTCTCATCGTCCAATATATGGGTTTGTATTATGGAGGAGTGAGTGTATCGTTTCATAATAATCCAGCAATATCACGGTGGGGGACACAAGAAATGGGCTTCACCTTATGGAGGAAAGTGGAGTAAAAGTACACAATTCTCAAGCAATGCCACGAGTAAGAAAACTATATATTTACAATGTCATTTAATATTTAATGGAGGCGTTTGCTGACGTTAGCATCCAGGTATACAGTGATGTATTGTTTTACCTTGAGAATGGTTTAATATCGACCGTGACTGCAGCTTGTTATTGCTTCCATTGTGTGCACAACGGTAACCTCTCCTGCGAAATGGTTGTCTATCATATGCAATCAATCGTCGTTTTTATGCAAAGCATCATGGGGGTATTTTTCAAAGATATATCACTTTTAGGCTATGGCTTGAAACAAATCCAGCAATTATGTACAGATACACTTATCATGTCATGTTGACAGACATTATGATGGAAAGAAATTTACATAGGTTTCTGGATTGCTTCATATTATGAGTTTCAAATAGGGCTGACATTTTATAACAGTTAGGATTGTTTACAATGTAATTCTTTAAATACATATTTCTGGAAGCAGTCAATTTATTACATTGAAATAAGTGATGAAACTCATCTCCTACTTGGGAGGGACATATAATGGACAGAATCGTTTACTTGAGGGAATAATTTCCCAGCGACCTGTTTTAATAGGTAATTTATGGTTGGCTGTTTTAAATTTGATTAAAATATTACAATGTGCTTTGTTCCTAATTTACGTTCCAGTAAAGATATATCATAATGAGATTTCATTCATTAATAGATAACAGCTTTAGAGGAAGATGTTATGGAGTTGTTAATCAATTGAAGCGATTGATCTGAAATTCTAAGTTGGACAGCATTTTTGAACCAAGAATCGGAAACTATATCTTGAGAATGCCATATACTGGACATACCAATATTATAACCAATATGGTTTTAATTTAGTTGAGCCATTTATAGTTGTAGTTGTATTTCATTGAAGTTGTTAATGATATTTGATATAATGCTGTTAACGTAGAATTACATTTTCCTGATACTAATCTGGACCAGAAACACAACATGCGCAGTTTGATTTTATCAACATGAGGTGGTCTGCATAATAGTAACATTCAGCAGATACTGGCTGACAGATATTTTTGACAGTGAAATAATATGAATTCTACTGTTACCTCTAGATTGTAAAAAGCTTCGACAAGTGTTTACCATAATTTATATGTGTGCATGATTATATGGCTGCGTAGATCAACGCAAATGACGCCAATCACTGGAAATGACGTTAACCACTGGACTACTTAGTGTATTTGGCAAAATATTTACCTATATAATCAACTAAAGGTTAGTTTTCTGGGAAAATACTCTCAATAAAATTACTGAGGAACAAGCAGGTTTTAGAGAAGGTTATTCAACAACTGATAATGTTTTTATCCTTCAAGCCATAGTAAGAAAATACCTTAGTGTCAAAGGAGGGAAATCTTATGTACTCTTCGTTGATTTTGCCAAGGCATTTGACTCAGTGCAGAGGCATAAGCTATGGAATCTTTTAAAAACTCATGGTCTAAGTATCAAGATGAATAAACTTTTATGTAGTATTTATGACAATCTAAAGGTGTGTGTACGTAACAATAATGAAATTTCAAAAACTTTTATCAGCCAGTTAGGAGTTTGACAAGGGTGCATTTTAAGTCCGTTCCTATTTACCTTTTTCATTAATGAATTAGCTACTCAAATTAATGAGAACTACAATCACGGTATCCAGCTTCATCCAGATATAACCCAGTTATTCTAACTGCTGTTTGCAGATGATATTATTCTGTTTTCATCCACAGTCAATGACTTACAGAGACAAATCAATGAACATGAAACTTACTGTGAGGAATGGAAATTAACAGTTCGAAATAAAACAAAAGTTCTGGGGGGCAGTTATCACGTAGTGAGTATTAGTTCTTTAAAGGAGAAAAAGTTTTTATAAATATCTAGGTGTTTACTTCAGTAGGGATCTGTTATGGAGAAACATTCAAATCAGGCAGCAATCCAAGCAAAAAAGGCTTTTGTCAGTATTTTCATTTGAGTTTGTTGGGAAATGCTTCATACCAATCATTTTTCAAAATATTTGATGTTAAAATACTCCCAATTTTATTATATGGTTCATAAGTGTGGGGTTTACAAAAGTTTGATGTGACAGAAAAAAATCAGTTATAGGCCTGTAAAACTTTCTTAGGTGTGAATATATGTACATCTAGCCTGATCGTATATGGTGAGTGTGGTCGGTTTCCACTTTATCTACACTCAAATATTAGGGTTATCAAATACTGGTTAACACTTCTTGATATGCCTTCATACAGACTCCCCCAAACATGTTATAATATGATGTTACTTTAAGATAAAAATAGAAAGAGAAACTGGTTACTGGAGTTAGAAAGTTACTTTTCAGTAGTGGTTATGGACAAATTTGGCAAAATCAGAATGTGTATTCAAAATCAAATTTTGTATTGTCATTAACACAAAGGCTAAAAGATATGTATATACAGACATGGACTGCTTCACTGGCTTTATCAAATAAGTGTTTTTATTACAAACTATTTAAATCACAAATAATTCAGGAAGATTACCTCCATAAGATTACTGTTAAAAAGTTCCGAACTGCTCTTTCACGTTTTAGATGTTCCTCTCATGATCTTTTTATTGAAATGGGACGTTATAAAAACGATTGTCGGGACCAAAGAATTTGTAATGTTTGTAACTTAAGTTCAGTTGAAGATGAGTATCATTTTCTGCTTGTATGTCCTGTTTACTTACAACTTAGAGAAAGATATCTGCAACCCTATTACTTTACATACCCAAATTTAACTAAATTTTATTTTTTGTCAAATACAAATGGTAAAGTTCTGCAAGATTTAGCTATGTTCATTCATCATGCCTCCATGTACAGATTTAACATAATTGCAAAATGAGTCTGCAATCTAGCTGGATGAGCTTTTACAATTCTTTTATGATTTTAATACTATGTCTGATTGTATATTTTGTATTGTAATGTACTATAGGCCTGTGGCCTTATTAAGTACTGAAATAAGCATACAAAACCACTGGATTGTCTGGTCCGATTATAAACAGGCCGCCGTCATATAGCTGGAAATGACGATTAGGGTGGCGTTCAGTAGTTAAAAAAGATAAACAAACCTCTTTCAGGACCATACTATGATGTCGAACATCCAGCATGTTTAATGAACCAGTATTTGTACTTACCACACGCTGCAGCTTGCCCAGATAGATGTGACTGTGTACAAATGTTTAGATCTAATGATTTGTCTGATATTCGGTGTGCACATTGGCGGAATGATGTAAGGGTATCTGTATGTACGTGCGTATGTAATGTATGATTATAATGCATGTGTATGTTTAGGTGTGGTATATGTGTATAATTCATGCGTATTTATGCATGCATGTATGTATGTATGTGTGTGTGTGTGTGTGCGTGCGTGCGTGCGTGTGTGTGTGTGAATCCTTGGTAAAGCTGTGTATCATCAGCATGCAAATGAATAAGATCATGAGATGTTGCAATTATTCCCAAATGATAGAGTGTACATAGTGAGAGGTATTGGACCAAAGACATATCCCTGTAGCACTCCAAATTTTATTTCGCTTCCATCAGAGTACTACCAACACAGACATTTGATCAGACGCGGGCCCTCGTCAAGAATTAACGTAATAATACGTCGATAACACAAATGTATATAATCGCCTGAAGCGTCTGAAAATCTACCATTCACATATATATCGATATTAACATCTCAGCAACTGTAAACAATCTGTACAAATATGTGATTGACGTTGGTTCAGGTGTTTCGGCTCGTGATGATCCAGGTTAGAATTGGTGTTCAGCAACCCATGCCCGTCGTAAGGGGCGACTAACAGGATCGGGTGGTAAGGCTCGATGACTTGGGTGACACATGCCATTGTGTTCAAATTGCATAGATCGATATTCATGCTGTTGATCACTGGCTTGTCTGGTCCAGACTAAGTTATTTAAGAACCGCTGCCATCTAGCCGGAATATTGTTGAGTGCGGCGTTAAACAACAAACAAATAAATCTTTACGAATAATAAACAAGGGTTAGAAGGTAAAATTGTATAACTGTATAAGTATTAGTAAATAGGCATGTCATGTTCAGCTGGTGTACGGGAATTATGTCACAATACCAAACAAAAGTACAATAATCCAAACAATCTGTCAGTCTTCAGATAAGCTTAAATCATTTTTATTAGAAAGCTACAATATCGGAATGTTTACAATCTTATTTGTCTATTATTATCTTGAAATACTGAGATGGATTCAGTAGCCAGCTTTAGGCAGCTACTTCAAAGGTCAGGGGACCTCGATGGCCAGTCCATGACGTTGATTCCAGCGTTTTGAAGGAAATTTCGTGTCAACATCGCGGTATGCGGCCGAGCATTATCATGCTGGAACTGTAGACCTGGGCCATGAGCCGCCATGAAAGGAACGAGTTCAGGGGTGAAGCACCTGGTCGCGGTAAGCAGCAGCTGTGAGGTTTCCGGGGATGACCAGAAGTCGGGAACGGTTGTTCCCACAGAAAGCACCCCACACCATGCAACTTCCGCCCCCGAATCTGTCGACTTCCTGTACACAACATTGGGCATATCGTTCACGACGTCGTCTCCAGACTCTATGCCTGCCGTCAGCGAATCTGAGGGTAAACCTGGATTCATCGCTAAAGACGACTCGATTCCAGCCTCTCTGGGTCCATCGGAGGTGACGTTGGGCCCACAGCAGACGTTGACGTTGATGAAACGGCGTCAATATTGG